TCAAACATATGTCGCCTTTATCTCACCTCCTTCTTTTTTGTGTTTGTTACTCTCTTGTAACACATCTATTCTTCGACACTTATATGACCTTATTGTGTTGCAAGTGCCGTAAAACTCTTACTAAAAAAAAAAAAAGAAAAAAAAAAGATACCCTTATCTGAAAAACCCAGGGTGCTGCACAGTGACGACCAGCAATGGCATGGTTGTGAAAGTGTTCTGTTTTGGTGTAGTATTGTGTATTTATGTACGTGTGTATGTGTGTTTGTATTGATGTATGTATGTATTTATAGTTATGTATTTATGTATATATGTATGTTTGTATTTATGATTGTTTAAGTTAAGTATATATGTTTGTTTGTCTTGGGTGGTTGGCAGGTGCTCTGGTGTGGTTTGCTCCTTCTTTCCTATCAAACTTCTGTCGTCCTTATATCACCTCTTTCTTTTTTGTGTATATGTTACTCTCTTGTAACACATAATCTCTTCTTCGGCATTTATATGAGCTTATTGTGTTGCAAGTGCCGTAAAACTCTTACTAAAACTAAAAACTATTTATTTATGTATATATGTTTGCTTGCCCTTGTAAACCAAATTGCCCTTGTGGGATCAGTAAATGTAATCATTTATGTTTTATATGCTTCAGATAGATCCTCATCTGGGACCTGTGGCAACTCTCTCTCTCTCCCTGTGCGTCTTTCATGGACGATAAATTCTACGGTACACAACAGAATTTCCAGGTTCACTTGAGATTCTTGGCTTACTGAAACATGACGCGTTTCTGAATCAAAGACGCCTCCTCCTGACATGAAAACGCTATTTCTGCGCGTCGAAATCATCATTCCACGACAGTTCAGGATAAAAGCGGAACTACTGAAGTTGCCTCGCGTCCATTGAGCTTTCGAAAAGAACAGCTCTTTGTTAAAAACATGTCAAAATGTGACATCAAATTGAAGAGGCCACGTTGAGCACATTAAAGATCCCTTGGTGGTCTAAAATCTACAAGAAAAGGCTTCAGCCGCCACCCTCCTGGGCAAAATTCAAAATTTGCTACCTACTGAAAAAGTTTAATGTGTCCCGCGCGCTCATATGACATTATGCAGTTGCGAGCGCCGTAAAACTCTCCCCCCCCCCCCCAAAAAAAAAAAGAAGAAGAAGAGGCCACAGTTTTAAAAAACACATTATAAATCATATATATAGATCTATATTACATATTTATTATGTATATGTAAAAGACAACATAGAGGAAAGTGATACCATGTAGTAAGCAGAAGACGTAGATCTAGTTTGACGATCTCACGAACTCACAAGATGGCGGCAGCTGCTCGGAACTTCCGTCTGCCGTGCTGTGTTTGGATTACGCCCCTTGCCGTCTGCTGCCTTCTCGACGTCTGCTTCGTCACTTTCGCGGATTCGCTGGGCAAGAAAGCTGATGGAGGGGGTGAGTTCAGAATTCTCTTTGCTGTTGTTGTTGGGAGTACCTTTTTAACCCCGTCTCCCCTAGCTGCACTTCTTTGACTTCTTTAACTTAACCCTCTTCCCTCCTTTCCGAAGCAAAGCACACAGACATACATGGGCACACATGCACTCACGCGCGCTCACTCACACGCGCACACACACCCACACACACATAATATAATATATACACACGCACACGTGCACGCGTGCACATACACACGCACACACACATTTTCTCTCTCTCTCTC